AGCTCCATACACACATATCCAAGTGCTACTTGATATCTCTATTTGAATGACCTATAATTACTTTAAACTCAATATACTCAAATTCATCTTCCTAAGAAAGTCTCATGCCATCCTGGGTATCTGATTTTAATGCATGACAGTACTCTCCACTTCATTACATGAACCAGAAACCTGGGTGTCATCATGAGTTGACCCTTCTTTGTCCCTTACCCATTCTTATAATAATTAATTGCTACAACTTACAATACACACCAATTCAGTTCAAAACTCAACCAATTAGCTAGTACTTTCCCTCAAAATGACTATCATGTTTTGGTATGTGGTGAAAGGGTTAAATGTTCCCCAATCAAGGGTTAACTCTGTGTCTCACTATGCCTTTGATATTTTAATCAGAAAAGCCCATGGCCCCAACAGGTGGCATAGTGATTAAGGTGCTGGACTCCCACATGGCTGACCATGGTTCAAGTCCCACACTTGACAGCTTGCTTTCTCACTTTCTGTCTCTTCTCACTCTTCTCTCTCTCTCTTTCTCTCTCTCTCTCATCTCTCTCTAATCTCTCTCTGGTGAGTACATGTGCCCTGTAGCAATTTTTTAAAAACTAATAAGAATAATGATAAATGAAATAAATAAATGATTTTTTTTAAAAAAGAAAGGCCCATTTAAAACTCTCAAGTGCATCAGACATTCTTTCTCCTCCTCCCCTTTTCTTCCCAAGTTGGTTGGTACTTTCTTGACTTCATCACAGATGGCTGACCTTGTATTTTGAGTTATTGCCTTCAGACCCCAAAACTGTAACATTTATCAACAGTTGGCATCAAAATTACAGACAAAGTACATGAAAGAATACAACATCCAGATATGACATGCAGAGATAACAATGAAACAACCCAAGGACCAACAGATGCTCTATCGGGGAATCACCCTAATTAACCAACTAGAGCTTCCCTTTCCTTACTTCCCAGTAAAAGCTCCTTGCCCTTTCCCTCCAGGGCTGATGCAACTCTCCGGATCTGGTCTCTTTCTTCCCTTGGAAAGTGAATGAATTATTTTCTATCTATTTTCTCTCTGAGTTTGTGAATTCCTTCACAGCCCATGACCAAGATCATGTAACTTTTAATTTCATCACATTGAGTATTAAAAAGACATTTATTCAAGAATAGAGATTTAATAAACGTATATATACTGCTTCATTAAGGACATTTCTAACTGAAACTGACACATTTTGTTTTGTTTCATTTGAACTGACAGTGCATACTGATGCAGAATACAATAATGGCTAGCCAGTTTGGTATCAGGGACTTAATTTGTGAAAAGGTGCCAGCCATGTAACATCAGTTTAAATGCTGAAAGACTGGAAAAGGTGGGACCAGTTAGTGATGTGTTTGTTAAGATGTTGTACTCCCACTAGGCTGATTGCAGTTCGAGTCCCAGACCTGGCAGCTTGAGATTCACACCGGGTTATGTGTGCATGCATGCTCAATATCCTAGGAGGAGAATGGAGAAGAGTTTGTGGCATGACCACCCTCCCCCAGGGGGGTGATTTCTCATTTTTTCCTCTCATAGTCTCTCTCTGGTGAATGCACATGCCCTATGGCAAAAACAAACAAACAAACAAAACCTTAAAAATAAATAAATAAATAGAGTGGAAAAAGTAGATAACATCTTAATAATTTGAAAAGTTTTTACCTTGAAGATTCCCTCAAGTGGTTTCAGAGACCACTAGGGAATCATAATTCAAGCTTTGAACTGCTAACAGAAGAAAAGAACATGCAAAGCCTCTAAAACTGAGCCTTTGTGGCATCGAATAGTTGCCTTGAATTTCCCATTCTAAAAACATAAACTTCATTCCTATGACTTTTTTTGTGTGCTGGGTAGTTTCAGAATTATATCCCAGGTATCATAAATGTTAAATTGTGATGATTCTGAATTCTGTTATTTTTCTCAAATGAGCATTTTTTGTCTGTTTTAAGAGGTAATTATCTTTGCTGACCTTAAACTGTACAGTGTTTATTGGGCAGTCACTCGAGTCTCAGTTCAGTTCTTTTACCTTTCGTTAAGCTGCTCTGAGCCTGTTACAGCAATGATTCAGGTTCCTGTCAGAGATGTGGGTAGACATCTAGAATCCAGGCACCTTTCCCCAGGCTCTTCACCTTGCAGAATTCTTTTACTCTCTCCAGTGGCTAAGGTTTCCTCAGCTTCATTTCTAGACTCCCTAGAAAAAGCCTGTAGTTTTCCAGCTGATATCCACTCCCTATCTTATGTCTTTCTTGCCAGACTAAAAGTCTCTCCAGGCTCACAGTTGCCTCCCATCCTCCTCAACTAGAGTTTCTGTCCTTTCCTAGCCAGCGATTTCAGACAGTTAACTTTTTCTACTTTGGGGAGGTTGGACAGCAGCCTTTTTTGCAGGGGGTCATCTGAGGAACTAACATGATGAGATCTGTAATATAAGATTTCTCTTGTTGTTGTGAGAGAAATGGTTTCAAGGTACTAGATAAGAGATCAATAGGAAGAGTCCACGCTAGTCCAGGAAAAAGAGATCATTTAGAGAATACATTATCTGATACACTTAGGTTTATAAATCATCATTGAAAAAAATTTTATATATTCTGAAAATACTGAAACTAAGTTATCCAAATCTTATCACTTGCTGGCATTATGGATTTCTTAAAATTTACTCTAAAACTTAGATATGGTACATTTTATTTTATTTTATTTTTTTAAGAGAGAATTTTGCTATAGGGTGTGTGCCCACCTCAGACATAGACAGACTGAGACAGAGAGACAGAAAATGAGAAATCAACACCCTAGGAGGTTAGTCATGCCACAATCCCTTCTCTTCCATTCTCTTCTCAGTGTGGGTTTTAAGCTGCCAGATCTGGGACTCAAACTACGGTAGACTACACAGGAGTCCAGCAATGTAACCATTACTCCATCTGCTGGTCCCAGTATGGTACATTTTAAAGTACCTCTAAATCTCTAAATTTCCAGAGAATAAGATTTTACCAGGTTTTACAATGGATTATTCCAGCATCTTACACTCATGTAATGTTTTCTAATCTCTCTAATCATACACAGAAGTATGTTTTTTTCCTTTCTTCATCATTATTTCTCAAGACTGTCAAGCAAAACTGCTGTCAAACAATGATCCCCACATGATCATTAAAAATATAATGCTGTTCTTTCTATCATTAAATGACTGGGGAGGAAGAGTCGATAGAGCCTCGTCTGATGTTTCCTTCAGTCAACAATCAATGTTCCCATCAAGCTACAGTTTTAACAAGAAAATTTTATTGGGACACAGAATCAAAGACAAGAAAAGCTTGCTCCAAGTCTTGCTTAGGATGCTGGTACATGGATGTGTTCAATTTATTTAAAAAAAAATCAGTGAACCATCCTGGAAAATATACTTTTCTGTATACATATTATTTTCAATTTTAAAAAGTCTGTGGAAGCTCAAATAAGCCTATGCCATGTCCCTTCTGTATAATGCTGATTATTCTGACAAGAAAAAATGAACGTTATTCTGTTTGTGTAATAGGATTTATCTTTACAAAGTTATCCACTACCACTTTAGATGATTTTTATGATTAAAAAGTATATAACTCAAACGTTATAAATATGTGACTAAATAAAGGTCCTCTATGGTTTCATCTTCAGAGATACTACACTTACTTAAATTCAGAGGCTTATGACTTCCACATCATCCTATTATAAATAAATTATACTCTTTTCCAAATTTGGGGCATATCACTTTTTCTCCAAAAAGTGTCAAAAATGAGGGATACTGTTTAGAGTCCTCAAGTGCCAGTAATCGAGCTAAACAGACTTTAGCTTGGCAATTTTTAACAGTAAATTTCTATTACTACCTCCACAATTTTTATAGACTTTGTCTTTTTTACAGCTTCCCAATGACTACCCTTACGCAAGATAAACTGCAGATGTTCAATAAGTACATGCTGACCGAAATAAAACTACATCTCTAAAAGAAATAACAATAGCCACTTTCAGATGCACGGTAATGTCTAATTCTGTTTCTGTGAGGAGAGACCCCATAAGCCTCTGAAAAGTGTTCTTGTTTTATTTATTAATATATTTATTTTTGTTCAGAAAGTTTTATTCTAATACTCCTTTTTCTTATCAAGTGGAAGTTTGTTTTATAAGTAGTTATCAAATTCAACAGTAGCAACTTTCCATCTTCTCTCTATCTACTCTACTGTGGCAATAGAAGAAAAAATTTAGATCTTAACCAATAAATATCTAAAATATCAAAAAATCAAAATTGAGGTTACATATATGGATTAGAATGCTAACTCAAATAGTCATCATTTTTTATTACCATTTCTATATATTTACATAAATTAAAATATATATACTTAGCACGTAACACTAAGAAACCAACTATTAATCTATAAATCTGATGATGCACAAAGTATTCAATTATAAACATTTGAAGCACATAATAGAACTTCTAATATATTTTACTACTCCTACACAGACATGCCAATGTTATGAAAAACAAGAGCTTTATTCACAACTTATGTGCTATAAATAGAATACCCAAAGAATATGATTTCTGATCCTATAATGTCTTAAAATAATACCTACAATTAAATGATAGTATAGATTTTTGTTATCTTTAAAAATGAAACAATATGAATCCTACCAAATTAAGAAAGAAAAAAGTACTTGTTGAAATTTAAGACCAGAAATTTACTTTCAAATATAATACTTGTATCTTAAATAATTTTTTTTTGCTTTTTTTTCAAATGCTATGTTTCTAAAAAGCTATTCGTAAATAAATCACTATATTAAATAGTCAGGGGAATGCAAATAAAACTCCATTCTAATATTCAACTTGATTCTTGGACTATACACTGAAGTAACATTATTCATTAAATTGTAAACATGTTCTTGAAGTAGGTATTAAGAAATATCTCACTCTAACAAATAATGACCATATGCATAAGAATATCTTTAATTATTTTAGCTAGTTACTTACTGAAAGCCACGCGAGGGATTCCATGATTCGATGTTCACATCGCTCTAAATGTTTTATCATATCTCTTGTCAAGTTGGCTTCTGCTTTGATGAAACTTTCAATCACTTTGTAAAAGTCAAAGGCTTTTAAGTTAAGTACATTCAGAATCCATGGGAAAGACAAATCTGTTCCAGAATCAATATTCTGAGATGTAGTTCCTAAAAAGGAAAGAAAAACATGTAACTTAGGTATAAAATGTTATGATATGAGCTAGATATTTTTATCTGGAAGATCTTATCAAATGTAAAATTAAAACAGTAGAAAAGTTAAGCAATGTTTATTTAGAACATAATTTTTTATTCTAGAGTCTACAGATTCCTAGAAAATAGGCCTTCAGATTTTGAATATATGTTGTACACATTTGTTTTTGCTAGAAAAGGACATATAAATTATGTCAAATATACAAATGTTCAAACATTCAAACATTTTAACTTATATCAGAGTCAGATTTAATATCTTGTACCAGCAGTTCATTAGCATATCCATTTTAACTTTTTAATTAATCCTCAATGGGGGGAGAGGGAAGCATTCTTTTACATTTTGCCAATTTAATTAGTTAGAAAATGGTATTTCTGGAGCCAGCATGTGGCGTGGTGGTTAAGGTGGCTGGACTCCCACATAGCTGACCACAGTTTGAGTCCCAGACCTGGCAGCTTGCTTTCTCACTTTCCTTCTCTCTTTCTCTCTCTCTCTCTCTCTCTCTCTGGTCAACTTCAACAAAATAAAATAATTACAATGAAAAAAGTTAAATAATTAAAAAAAAAAACAAGAAATAAAATTATATCTCAGCTCCATAAACTGGAGGTTTTAAGGTAGCCAGAACCCACATGGCCAAGCCTAGTTTGAATTCTGTCCCCAGAGACTTGACAAACATGCTGAGTACATGTGAGGCATGCCCAAAATCCGTACGGATAGAAATGCAGGAGGAGGGACTACAGCATGGTCATGCCCCATGGTGGGGTGCTTTCCTCCAGTCTGTCTGTCTCCCTTTGGTGAGCACATACACCTCTAGCAATGAAAAAAAGAAAAAATGGAATCGCTTTTTAAATGTGCGTGCCCTGGTTATTAATGGGGATTCACAGCTTTCTATTCTATGTCTATTTACTAATTTAAGGTCCTCCTTTGATATATATATATATATATATACACACACACACATATATATACACACACACATATACATATGTATATATGTATGTATACACACATATGTATATATACATATATGTGTCTGTCATGTGTATATGTGTATATATCTATCATGTATGTGTGTATATCTGTCGTATGTGTGTGTGTGTGTATACACACACACGTAACTCCAGTTAATAGGTCATAAGATAGACAGTCACAAATACCAACAAGGATACATACAAGGAAAATTCAAATCAAAGTGAACACTGCCTACACAGGTAAGAGCCACAGGAATCACACTCATTATTAATAGACAGTGGAGTAGCTTTAATATCTATATCAGGGTCATCAATGTAGGTCCACAGCCTGGCCTTGTTTTTGGAAATAAAATTTTATTGGAACACAGCCATGCCCACTGGTTTACTATCTATGCTTTTGCACTGCAAGGTCAGGGTTGAGTTCCCCTTTTACTGATAGTATTTGTACCCTTAGATAAATGTTCCTCTTTTGCTTCTGCAAGCGAACTTATTTTTTTTTTTTGATTTGCAACATTATTTTAAAATCAATGGTTACTTTAAATGTTTAAACTAAAAACTATGAGGACAGCCAGTGGGCAATGGCAGTTAAGGTGGCTGGGTCTCTTACATGGCCAACAGCACAGTTTCAGTGCCCAGTGATTTGAAAAATATGCCAGGAATGGTGAGGGCATGTCCAAAATCCTGAGATGAGAATTAGAGAAGGGACTGTGGCATGGCCATCCTCCCGAAGGGTGATTTCTTTCCCTCTCTCTCTGTATGTGTGTGTGTGTGTCTCTCTCTCTGGCAAGCACAGGCTCTGTAGCAAATTGAAAAAAAAATAAAAATAAAAATAAAAAAGAAGAAGAAGAAAGAAAGAAAAGAAAAGAAAAACAAATACCGCCATTGGCCTTTGTACTGCTTATCTAGCTCCAACCTTTGGTCTCATAACCATAGAGCTTAGTGCATTGCTTTCTTATCAGTAGAAACTGCTCTTTAATGCTCCTTTGGCACTTTACAATCTCACAGATGTTTGAAAAGAGTTCAATAGGTACTTTTTCTGGATTCAATATATTCAGAATAGAAACCTAGTGAAATACTGTCCCTAAGAGGACCTGAAATAATTCAGATAATAGGCCACTTAAATGGCTTATGACAAGCAGTTACATTTTTCAATATATACTGAACTAAAATAGACATTTCTTCTCCTAAACTCAAACACTATCCTCCCCACTCCTGCCCAAAAGAAAAAAAAAGGGGGGTAACCCTCACACCTTAGGTTATTTTTTTTTAACTTTAAATTAAACTAAAATGTTTATTTACTAAAATTTAACTTACTGTTATAAGTAGCCATTACAACCTCAAGAGCACAGGCCAATAAAGACATATGAAAGATGTTGTCATTCAGGAGTTTGCTAAAGAAAAAAAAAAAAAAAAGAATGACTTCCAAATATTTACTTATAAAAAAATGAAGGAATTGTTTTACTAAAATTAAAATATTTACCTAAAATTTTGAATCGACAACCGTTCTTCCTCCTAAAACATATAATTTAAATAAAAGTTAACTGAAAAATTGTTCGTGTCAGTACAGTATTTTTTTCCATTATATTACTTTTAACTTACAGATTTAAGCATGGATTCCATTACTCGGTAATACAACCGGACTCCAAGTTTGTATCGCTACAAAGCAAAAGAAAAGATCACATTATTATTTTATTTTTTAATAAATAAAGCTTTTAAAAAAGAATTATATATGTGTTTATTTTCATTTGCTATTATTATTTTTTTACTATGAGCAGAGAGAGACAAAGGGAAAGCAGGAAAGGAAGTCATCAGACCTGGGACTCAAACCCTGGTCATCCATATGGGAATCCAATGCCTTTAACCACTACGCTACCTGCTGACTCCAAGATTCCATTATTTTACAAAACCACAATTACTAACTTAAAAGTCAGTAACTGAAACATACTACTGACCCCTTTTAGGAATATAGCTATCAAGAGATCATAAAAGCTAGCTTGTCTAAACCTCAAGGCTTAAGTATAAAGTGAAGATTAACATCCTCAATAAATTATTAAGAGAATAGATCCAGTTGAGTTTCTTTCACTCCCTTTCAATCTACATTATTCATAGTAAGGATAAATTACATTGCTCAGTACAATTTTAAGCACTTTACACCCCTAATATAATACTTCTTGTGACCTATGACACGTATGTTCAAAATGACTGTCTAGGATCAAGAGAATAGTCTCTATCCATAAAACCTAGTAAACTGGCACAGGAAAAAGTTAGAACAAACTGATCTTATCAGCAAAAGTTTTAACCAAATGATTAATTCCAATCAGTTGAAAAAAATAACCAAATTTTAGAGATATATGTGTGTGTATGTGTATATATATATATATGTGTGTGTACACACACATATATATATGTATACATGTATATATACACATACATATCAGTGTGCATTACATCAGAAACCTCACTTCACTGAAATAAATGTGTATTATAGATTATAGTTTTCAAACTTTTTTTTAATATTCTACCCTCATTAATGTCACACAACATAGCAAGTAAATACAGAACCTGAAACTCAGAGAAATTAAATGTTACAAGCAAGCATAAATGATTGAATCAGACAAAAACCCAGGGCTGTAACTCCAAACACTTATTCAAAATATTGGTTTTAGAACTTCTGAAAAAAATTATAATTTCACTCGGTAAAAAAATGGCATGCACTGAATAATCCCCTTCATATAAGTGTAAGCATACATAAATATGCATAGATGTACAAATCAAAGCAAACATCATAAAAATTTAATAATATCAACAATTTTTATCTTTTCCTTCCTTGTATTTTTCTGAAATGTCTATAATTGGGGTAGGATGTGGTTTCCCATAAGTAGCTGCATACTCTGGCAGCCAGGATGCAGGATTTGCTAGTACACTACTAGATAAGTAGCATTACACTATTTGTACAATCTGGACAGATCCTGCCTTTAAAATGATTTCTGTGTAGTGGCACTAATCAAAAAGAATTCAAATTATTACCTGTGATCCGATTTCAATACATCCCTGACCCACGGCTTTAGCAAATTTCTCTTTGAAGATGTATTCAACGTCCTTCACTCTTTTCAGGATACTTTCTTTTGGATTCACTGTGCAGTTCTTTAAGAGGTATAAACAGAAATCAACATTGAGGATACTGTTCAATCAGAATTAACATGTTCTATTCCCTAACTTTCAACTTTCAATTGTTTTTAGAAATGTGGAACTACTTCCATAAGAACTAGGTAACAACAACTACTGAAAATCAGCAGGTAAGAATTTCATTACATGTTAGAGACCAAAAACTACAAGAGCACAATTGAAAAACCATATCAGTAAACTTTCTGCTGCTAAACTAGGGATGAGCAGATTTGTTAGCCCTTTTTTCATCAAAAAGAGCCTTAGGAGCCAGGGGGTGGCACAACAATAATGCAACTGGACCTACATGAGAAAGGTCCTGGGTTTGAGTCCAAGGGCCTCCCTGAATAAACTAAGTACACATACACGTGCACATAATCCAGGCCAGCTGAGACTGGGGGTAGTCCAAAGCATGAAGATGCTGCCCCAGTCTGTCTCTGTTTCTCTCTCACTCATGAAAGAAATGAACTTTTTTTAAAAAAGAAAGCAAGAGGTTTATACATTCTTTTTTTTTTTTTTTTTTGATTCACTATAGGGTGCGTGCGCTCGCCAGACAGAGAGAGAGACATTAGAGACACAGAAAGCAAGAAATCACCCCCCGGGGGGGATGGTCATGCTGCAATCCCTTCCTCTCCATTCTCCTCTCGGGATCTTGGGCACACACACACACACACACACACACACACACACACGCGCGCCCGGCGTGAGTTTTAAGCCACCGGGTCCAGGACGCGAACCACGGTCGACTACGTGGGAGTCCAGCAACATAGCCATTACGCCAACTGCTGGTTCCCGAGGTTCATACATTCTTATAGATCTTAAATTGAGAGTTACAGACACATCCTGGGGTATGTGTTAACTGCAAGATAGCAAATGAAGAAGTAAAACTAAGATTTGAGCTTGACATAATTTTCTAATTTAAAATTGTGATTTATAAAAATTAATAATTAGCTAAATAATTTTTTACTACACTTTCAGAGACACAAGATAGAGAAATACATAAAAAAGAATTTCTAATGAATGTGTCATTTGGGATGGAACTACAACAACTTTCATAATTAAAATACAACACAAAATAATGTATTAAATACATATTGTGATATATTACCATATTCCAAATTTTACATTGTGATATATTAAAAATATATCTGAGCAGGTACAATCAAAGGCTTAAATTCTTATGATCTTTACAGATTAGATACATTCAAAATGTTATATACTAGAAAACAAACTTTCTATAAAACATTTTGAAAACCTCTCTTTATAATGTGCACATTGTCATTCAAAAATTTCATTCTAGAATACTGGTAATTCTATATTCCTGAAAGAAAACAGCACATAAATCTTGTAAGCACATAGTAGAAGCATTCTGTTATAAAATAATTTGCTAAAACAGCCATTAAAATATCCATAGTTGCTGAGATTTTATACGCAGCAATGATGGCATTAATTTTAAACAAGAAACTTTAATTAATAAAGAATGAAAATTAAGGAAAAATGTTAATGACCTTTAAGACTTGCTCACTCTGAGGCAATTTGTCTTCTACAAAAAACTGAAATTAAACTCTAACGCTTCATTAAAATGTAAGCTTTAATTTGATCTCCAAAGCATGCCTTTGAAGCAGTAACTCAAAATAAAAAGAGCTCCTATTTACTATGAATGTTGAAGAAAATACTCAAATTTGAGAAGACAGATGATCATTCTTCTAATTTTTATCATTATCCCTTGCTAAAAGTTCTAGATAATTAGATAGATATATTTTGGAAAGTTTTCTTGTGCTACAGATAACCCATAAACAAAAACAATTTTATACAAGATGGGACAAATAAAATTAGTATTGAACCAATTAAGACTATGACATCAGAAATTACTTTGCTATTTCCTGCAGGGAATATAGCAAGAAATGAAAATAGAATATGACAAAAGTACAGGTAATAAATTAGTTATAAACAACTATGAAAAGCACAAATTTATTGGAATAAACCCCATTTTAATAAGACTTCTAGCATTCCACCCAACTTCCACGGATGAGTATTTCAGTAGGTTACTAGAGGATTCAAGACTAAAAGCAAGAAAGCAATATAGATGCTTAATTTTCATTTTTTTCATTCTCTTCCTCTCTCCTCCTTTTCAAGGGACAAAGGGTAGCAGGAGCCCTCATATAGATATCAAATTCAGGGACTCTTAGGAGTTGCAAACTACAAAGCATACAGAGCAAGATAAGAATTATAAATGAAAATGAGTTAAATATAGACTAGAGAAAGACTGTAGGGCTTTGGGGAATGTTAAGCCCATCAAACACTGTACTGAAAAACAACTTAAAAGTAGTCAGAGAAAAAAGATAGATTAACTAATTAACTATAAAGGAACAACAGTTTGGTAAGATTTTTTTTTAAAGAGTTATCTTATTTAAATTTATTTATCTATTCATTTATTCTAATTTGACTGGAGAGGGACAGAGCAAGAGAGAGAGAGAGATAGAAAAGGAAAGTGAGAAAGCAAGCCACTAGGTCCAGGACTTGAACCGCAGTCGACCATGTGGAAGTGCAGTGCCTTTAACCACCACACCACTTGCCAGCCCCAGTTAAAGAAGATTTTTTTTAAAAGAATTATTTATTTAATTTTATTTATTCATTTACTTATGTCTTTAATTTGACCAGTGTGAGAGAAAGAGAAAGTGAGAAAGTAAGCTACCAAGCTCGGCACTCAAACCATGGTTGGCCATGTGTGAGTGTACAGTACCTTAACCACCATGCCACCTGCTGGTCCCAGGTAAGATTTTTTTAAATGAGCAATAGTGGAAGTCAGGAAATAATAAAGTAGTATCTTTACTATTTTTTTTTAAGGGAGATTTTTGCTATAGGGCATATACCTTCGACAGAAAGACAGAGACAGACAGAAAGTGAGAAATCAACACCCAGGGGAGATGGTCCCACTGCAATCCTTTCTCCTTCATTCTCCTCTCAGGATTTTGGACACTGGAGAGACAGACAGAGACAGTGAAAAGGAAAGTGAAAAATCAACCCCCAGAGGGAATGGACAGGTTGAAATCCCTTCTCTTCCATTCTCCTTCCAGGATCTTGGGCATGCACCCACACACTCAGTTATTTTCAAGCCACTAGATCTGGGAGTGGAACCACAGTCAGCCATGTGGGAGTCCAGCAACATAACTGCTATGCCATCTGCTGGTCCTGTAAAGTAGTATCTTTAAAGTAATATCGTCAAACTTAAAAGAGAAAGTAAAAGTCAACCTAGAATTAAGATTTAACTGAGTTATGTCACAAAAAAATAAGGGCAAAGATAATTTCACCCAACAAAATAAAACCTTATGATTTCATCCAAACTAACCTCACTAAGAGAATTATTAAAAGATATAATCTTGGGGACCAGCAGGTAGCATGGTTGTTAAGGTGCTGGACACTCCCATGTGATGGCTTGCTTTCTCACTTCCTCTCTCTCCCTCTTTATCTCTCTGTCTCCTTCTTTGGTCAAATTAAAATAAATAAATGAATAAGTAAAATTAAATAAATAAGTCTTTAAACAAAAAGATACAATCTCACTAACAGAATTATTAATGGATATAGTAAAAAAAGAGAAAAAAGGGACCTCAAAAGTGAGGTCTGAGCTGTAAGAAAGAATGGTCAACAAGACAAATGGTAAACACAAAATCAAAACTAAGCTAATAAAAATAATACTAAGAGTAATGTTTAATTTGGAGGGTTAAAAAAGTGAGAATAAGAAAATAGATAACTACATGTTGGATGTGAGATAAGTGTTGTTAAAAAATACTCATTACTTTTACTCCTAATTTCAAATTTCTTTGCCAAAATAGCACAGTAACGTTTCATATATGGCTTACATTAAAATAGGAAATCAGATTTTCTGATGGTTGATCACTTGCTGAATTTAAAATCATCATTAATTGCTGGATAGTATTCATAACAGTCCTAGAGGAAAACATATAAGAAGGAATGTTATGCAGTGAAGGAAAACAAGAAAAAAATTAAATGTATCTACCGCCCAAGTTAAACATATCTTTAAGCATACTGTCTTACTTTATCTTTAAGAAGTTGACAAAATAAGACTTAACAACAATAAACTCTACACATAGTCCTGTTATAAGAAATTACATTTTACTTATATCATGTACAAAAGTTATATTCATAATCAGTAAGCTTATAATGATAGAACTGATAACTTTCTTTATAATAAAACAATATATTAATAAAATATTTGGTTAAACTAATGACATTATTTTTAGGAAAAAATCTATCAAATGGCATCAAAATGGCATTCTTTCAAGAATATTACTGTAATTAAATATTAAACACTTTTAAATGAGGACGATTAGATACTGGAGCCAAGAGGTAGTGTGGTGGTTATGCTGCTGGACTCCCACATGGCTGACCATGGTTTGAGTCCAGGACCACCGGCTTGAAAATCATGCTGAGTGCATGTGCACGTGTGCCCAAAATCCCAAGAGGAGAATGGAGGAGAAGGGAATGCTCCGTTTCCATTTCCTCTGGGAGGTAATTTCTCACTTTCTCTATTTCTCGCTCTCTTCTCTCTCTTTCTCCAGAAAATGCATATGCCCTATGACAAAAACCTAAAAAAAAAAGAAAAAAGAAAAGACTATTAGATATTTAGGAACTTTAAGTAAAGAATCAAGTGATTCTCTTTCCAGAACTCTTCAGGGACAAAATAATAATATAATATAAAAATAATTTAATATTTTAAATAATTTAAAAATCATATGGATAAGTATAAAAGCAGGTTAATATCTCAAGATCTGTTTAACTCAATAATTTTATGGGTGTGTATGATAAATACTAATTTTCCAATTTTGGAGTAACATTACATTTGAGACACTGTTAAATGATACAAAGAACTACAGAATGTTTAGGACAGAAAGAGTTTTTAAACAGCATTTAGTCAAATATGTTTGGTCTTCTCAGCCAGGCCTCTCTAACTGGTGTCTACACCACACCTTTCAAATATTTTGCAACATGGCTTCTAGGGTTTCTATGCACCTCTGTGCCCACTAATCTATTTAAGCCACATGACTATTAATCTATTAATATAATCTATCATGCCACACATGACTAACTGCTAAAACCTAAAGGTCTTTCTCGTTTATTCTGCTACTTTACTTTCTTGAAGCGTTTATCACACTTAAATATTTGCTCTTTCCTAAAACTCTCCCCTTCAGCTTTCCTGGCTTCACTCTCTGGGCTCCCAACCACACCTTCTCATTCTCTAGAATCTAACTACTTCTATTTAGTCTCGACACGTTAACATTGTTTGGGGGTCAGCTCTTGGCCTCCCACACTTGCCATTTTACATCTTCACTTCAGGCGATCTCATCTACTTTATAGTTTTTAACTCCCCCTGATGATTTCAAATCTATAAGCTCCTACTAGTCTATTACTTACTAGCTATTGTCTTCATAAATGCCTCAAGAACAATATTCTTAATATGAATGCATCCAAAAATGTACCAACTCTTTTCTTGCTCTTTGATTCCCACTGCCACTCTATTGGTTCAGGTCTTTAACATATCTCAACTGAACTACTGCAACAGATCAGTTCAGACATTTTTCACTCGTTATGTCTGGCAGAAAAGTCCAGGCATGCAAACTCTGAAAAAAATCCCTCAGGTTATTTTGATTTGTACTCCTAAGAACCATTGAGACATATCGACGAATTTCTCACCATCTCTTATGCTCCTCAATCCATCCCTTCACAGTTACACATCAGTTTGCAAAGATCAGTCTAATTTTATCCTTACCACTGCACAACACTCATTTTCATTAGCATAGACTATACCATGCACAAGTCCAAACTTCTGAGTATGGCAAATAAGGCCCTTTATGTAGTAACCACTCTCTCCTCCTGATAGTTCATCCTCTCATCTTATCAATACAGAGGTGCTAACACTTCCCCAGATACATTGCATTGCTTCGCACTTCTGTGCCTTTGGCACACAGTGTTCCTGCTCCCTGAAATTCCTCTCTCATAACAAAGACCCTTAACATGTTTTCAAAGTTCAGTTTAGACATCATTTTGTAAAGTCTCCCTTCCACACTATCTCATAACTTCACTATAAGTCTACTACTATATTTGCATGAAAATGTGTTTTTCATATATCTATCAGTCATCAAAAATATATTACTGATTACCTAGTATGCACCAAATGTCATGCTAGGCCTTATTTGTTAAATGGGGAATAAAAACGTCATGGTTCATGTGGTATGGAATTTAAAGGCTATCGTGGATATTGATGACAAAAAACAAGCACATAAATGATTCTTTAATAATTGTTATAGGTGCTTTAAAGGAATAAAATAGGATGCTAAGAGAAAGAATATTTTTTAAAAAAAAGTAGGTTAGAGAGAAAAATATCTTTAAAGAAGCAGTATTTGTGCTGAACCTAAAGGAAGAGCAGCGGTTGGTAATCCATGGAAAGAAAAGAAGGAAGAGTTTAAAGAAAGGATGATCAAGTATGAGGGTTTTAAGTAAGTACAAGAGCTCGGACAGTCCAAGGAATTGAAAGAAAACCAATATGATGCAAGGTGAGCAAGAAAACAAGGTGAGGTTGAAGAGGCCACAGAAGTCGTATCATACAAGGTCCCGTAATATTGTTAAGGAATTTGTTTTGTATTACAAGTACAAAGGGAAGCAATCAGAGTGTTTTAACAGCAGGGTGAACATAATCTGATTGACATTTCTAGAGTGTTATTCTAGGGGCTCTGTGGAGAATAGATTTAATGGTAAAGAGAGGAACACTGAGAAGAGCAGTAGCAGCAAGATCTGTTAGTAGGGACTGCACAAAATTTAAGAGAATGATTTCTTAGACAAGGGTGATAAAAATAAAAGCGGAGAAAAGTAGATGGACTCAACTATTTTAGTAGATTCAATAAGATTTGATAACAGATTAAGATGTGAGAAATGAGTGAAGAAAAGGACATAAAAATAATTTTAATATTTCAAGGTTGTAAGCAGACCAACAGTAATACTTCTTTTTTTAAAAATGTAATGACATGGAACACATTCCTGTTCTAAGTTATGTTCTAAAGACGGACAGAAGTAGGTCTTCTATCCTCAGCAAGTAATGAAATATCTAGCACATAAAGCGTACTCATTATGTATTTGTGTGTATGAACAGATAAAGAAACAAAGACATGGAGCATTATAAAGCACGAAATAAAAAATGATAACGAAAATGGAAAGTAGGAAAATTCATACCTAACTGGAGTATGTGGAGGAATCACATTCACCTCTTCATCAGGATTACTTTTACGTGGTGTTCTCTGTGTTTCAAAACTAAATAACAAAATAAAAAGTAATTCATATCAAAAATTTACAATTTGTGCTTATGAGTAAAAAAAACCTGTATACTAATTTCTGTCACTTCATAATATCATAAAAAGTGGTAATAAAAAAACTGATAGGAAATAAATAACCCAACTGTTGCTAAAATAAATAAAATGTTATGTTTCACTGTTGTTTTTAACTACGGGTTGCTTTCCAGTAGAATGACAAACAAGTGCACCAATCATTAACTTCTTTTCAAAGAAAAAGTTAGATGCTTTCTCCTTCATGGTACTAATAATAACCAAATATTGGGTGTTTGGGGAGATCATGACACATTTTTGCATAGAAAAACACGTGATGACTCTCCCAACAACCTAATAGTTCAGTTTTAAAAAAAATATTTAGGCTCAGGGGTCAGCAGGTGGCATGGTTGTTAAAGGCATTGGACTCCCACATGACCAACTGTGGTTCAAATGCTGGACCTGTGGCTTCCTTTCTCGTTTTTCCTCTCTCTCTCTCTCTCTCTGTGTGTGTGTGTGTGTGCGCGCGCGTCTGGTCAAATTGAATAACAATTATTATATAATTATAATAATAAAGTTAAAATAAAAATAATTCTTTAAAAAAATCAAAGCTCAATTTTTTTTAACAAAATATGCCTTTTCAAAAGTTTACTTACACTTAAATAAAAGTAAAGACATTTTACTTGTGTTTAATTTACAAATTATAGAGACCAGCAGGTGGCATTGTGATTATGGGTGCTAGAATTCCACATGGTCAACCGCGACCGCAGTTTGAGTCCCAGACCTGGAAGCTTGCTTTCTCACTTTTTCTCTCTCTACTCTGTCCCTCTCTGGTCATATTTAAATAAATAAATAAATAAGGTTAAATAAAATAATTATTTTAAAAAAGTACAAATTACATGTATTTTCAGTTTCATATAACAAGATTCATGCTAAAGACAAAATTAGCACTGTGTATGATCACTTAAAATTTTGTGTAATTACTCTGGGACCAGCAGTTAGCGTAATGGCTATGTCGCTGGACTCCCACGTCATCAACCGCAGTACGAGTCCTGGACCCGGTGTCTTAAACTCACGCCGGGTGCGTGTGCGTGCGTGCCCAAGATCCAGAGAGGAGAATGGAGGAGAAGGGATTGTGGCATGGCCATCCCCCCTGGGGGGTGATTTCTCACTTTCTGTCTCTCTGTCTCTGTCTGTCTGGCGAGCACACGCGCCCAAAAACCTCTCAAAAAAAATTTTTTTTGTAATTACTCTCAATCTCCCTCCCATTTTCAGTATGCTACATCATAATTCAAGAGATATACTTTTATATCATGCTTCTAAAAGAAAGGAACCAGGCAGACAACAGTAAATGAAATGATGAAAAAAAAAAAAAAAGACTACTACTGAGTAAACTAATTATTTCAACTATTTTCTTTTAATGAACATTTTAAAAATCTTATTGGGCTAACTGAAAAAAGATAACTATTATAGAACATGATTCATACTAAGTCTCTATTTGTTTACAAATTATATGCTTACAATAATGATAATGGTTTTGTTATACAAAAGCACTTGAAAATAACTTATTATAAATGGTATTTAAAGATGACTGAATTAGATAGATCACTAAATTATTTAACATACCTATATCAATTTCAATCTAAATAAAAATGTATCAATAAATAAAATTGCACTATGTACAATACCTGTCTATAGGATCAGTCTGAAGAGTTTTATCATGATCCAAAAATAATCTTGCATCTATATCTTTGTTTTTTAGATAAATATCTTCATAACGTTTTGAGAGACTTTCAACCTCAAAAGAAAAAATAAAAAAAACACTGACAATTAACTTTTTCATGTCATTATATCTATTACTACAAAAGGACAGATTTCACTAAAGAATTTTTGTACAATACACATTTAATTTTACTTTATACAGTGAGCTCATATGTAACATAAATGAGGCCTATTTTAAAGTGATGTACATGGGACCAGCAGATGGCATAGTGGTTACATCACTGGACTCCCACATGGCCAACCATGGCTCGAGTCCTGGACCCAGTGGCTTCAAAATCATGCTGGGTGCATGTGTGTGCATGCCCAAGACTCCGGGAGAATGGAGGAAAATGCAATTGAGGCATGGCCATTCCCCCTGGGGGGTGATTTCTCACTTTCCCCGTCACTGTCTCTTTCTCTCTCTCGTGAATACAGGGGCCTGAAGGCAGAAAAACCTCTAATTAAAAAATAATAATAAAAAAATAAAGTGATGTACAGAGGCCAGCATGTGGCATAGTAGTTAGGAACTTGGATTCTCACATGTGGTTCGAGTCCAGGACTTGGTGACTTGTAAATCACACTGGGTGCATGTGTGTATACACCCAAAATCCCAAGAGGAGGCTGAAGGACAAGGGATTATGGTGTGGCCATCTTCCCTGATGGGTGATTTCACACTCTGTCTCTTTCTGTCTCTCTCTGGCAAGCACATACACCTTATGGCAAAAGTCTGGGGGGGGGGAGGGGGAAATAAAAAAAAAAAAAAAGAGAGCAAAACATCACCCCCCTGGGGGACAGTCATGCTGCAATCCCTTCTCATCAGTTTCTCCCTTTTGCAGTATTGAAGCACTCATTGCACATGCACCCAGCATGTTTTTCAAGCCAAGTCTCAAACCTGTGGGATATGGCCATCTTAACCACCGGGCAGTGAGCTGGCTTCTTAAGCCTATTTTAAGTATGCACCTCATTTATTATAATTTTAGGTAGACAGAATTACCATTGCCACAAAAAATACTTATATTAAAAATAACTATTATTACAACCAGTTAAATGTCATAATTCTTCAAACATTCCATATATCCCTTACTTTTTCCCCCATATATCCTTTGCTTTGAAGATTGTATTCTGTTTATCAATATAAAACAAAGTATTGTTTTTTTAAGTAGCATACTCACTTTGGCAGAACATATACTAAAAAAACATTATAGCAAATCCTGATTATATATCAGCCAATCTTTTCTAAACCTTTAGTACACTAGATCTCGGTTCAGTTAAGTATCTTGGGCAAGAGAATTAGCTCAGTTAATTAGCCCAATTAATGTACTATATGATTTAGTCCCAATCTTACATATTTTTTCGATTGTTAGAATCTATAACTTTATCATAATTTTCTAATCTTAATTTAAAAATCAATGCTCAATAAACAACTATTGGCATGCCTTCTGCTAAAACCTTTAAAACTAAAATGTTTCCAACCGCAGAGAACTAAAATTGCATTCTAAGAAAACAGGAAGAATCTCAATTGAATGTAAACTTTTGTTTGCATAACAAAATTATGCACAATCATCATTCATGCTTAAGTTTAATCCTTGCTCCTCACCTACTAATTATTACTACTTATCAATCATCTATTTATTGGCTGTTATATGTGAAATACTGGAGAAAATGGCCATCCACCCAGAGGATGATTTTTCTCTTTCTGACTCTCCAGTGAGCGCATGCATCCTATAGCAATGTTCAACTCCTCAAAATGCCATCTCTCATAAAACTTACTTAGCTCAGAAATTACATCACTTCCAAACGATTTTCCAAAACACCTCTCTCTGCTTGAATTAGGCAGCTTGTCTCGGATATCACAGAACCCTGTGTGTACTTCCATTAGACACTTGTAGATTTCTATCCATTCTACTGGTGTGTCTGCCTCTTCAACTACTAGCAAAAGGACAGTGACTGAGAGTAAAACCTGCATCCACACATCTAGTACAATGCCTGGCATGTATTTAGTATTCAATAAATGTTTGTTAAGTAAATTAATTCAAGAACTCACTACAAATTCAGGTCACATATCAGCAATCTAGCTATCTGATTTCATGTCTTTTGGGCTAGGTGCTTCTAAAACACTGTTATCACTGACTACTTGTCTTCTATCATTTATCAAAGCATTCTTCTCTCTACTTATTTCATTTTCCCATCCAAAGTTCTTAATTGTTCTATTTTAACTGAAAAAACATTTGTGGCAAAATGTGAAAAAGAACAGATAGACAGATGGTATACCACTAAGGTAAAACATATGTATAATACAATCATAGCAATGTACACAAAATTTAGCTTCAACTAGCTAGTTTGGTTTTGGTGTTTTGCTTTAGAATGTACGCTCGCCCGAGACATGGGGGGGTGGGGGGGAGAAGCCACCCACTCCAGCGGGGGATAGCCACACTGCCATCCCTTCTACTCCA